TTCCTCAAATGCCAGTAAAAGTCTACTCAAGAAAACTTGAACTCAATGACTGTATTGAGGGGTTATTTATCACAGAGAATATAAATACAAATTGCAATGAACAATAATCACAATAATATGTGTGCAGGACTGATTTCTAGCTTCTTCTAAAAAAGTTTCTCCAAAAATTAAAGCAATGACATTCCTTTCTGCTTTTTTCTACAAACTACAGGTTTTACAGCTGTTCTAATACCCATTTTCTAAAATCTTTTTAAAATGTCAAACTTACAGACAAGCTAAACAAGTATGTAACATGTAAAACCTGAATATCTTCATTTTACCACATAATTACCATTTTTCTTCCTCACTTCAAGACTTGCACACGCGGATTCATTTTTATAGACACTGTTGAATAAGTTCACTGGTTTTCTTAAGTGACTTGTTCAATGATATGATTTAGTAGTACGGGGCTTCCCGTTCTAGAACAAAAATTCTAACAGCAGAAGGCAAGGGTGTGCAGGATAGAAACAATGCTGTGTCCAAGCCACTACTTTTTTGTTTATATAATATCAGTCAAACCTCATTTAAATGTAAGCAAAAATGTAATTGAAGATTGTGTAATTCATAACAGGACATTTTTAGGGGCTCTCATACAAAAATGAACAAATTCTTGGTTTCTCAGAGAAACTCAATTTCAGTTACTTTATTCACTGCTCATGCTGTTTGAAACACTCTTTTCCCCCATATCTTTTGAACATTCCTATTACCCCTCCAGGTTTTATACCATTTCCCTACTCCCCAGATTAAAGTAGACTTATGATCTCCTAGTATTCAACACCTTGCCTTCAGAAAAGTTCTCACAATATGCAATTGTGCATGTATTTCTCTTGTCTGTCTGCTCAGTCTGCTGCTATATCTCAAGGCCTACTAAATGACATTACACGGAACAGTTTTGCAACACACACAATTTTGCTGTTGTTGAATGAGTAATGCTACCTGACTCAAGAGACTGTAGTGAAGGTAACTGAAGTAATACATGTAGGAGAATGTCTGAATCCATATAAGCCCTCAGTAAAGGCCCCCCTCCCAACCCTCAGGTAATCTAACTACAGAATTTTTATGGGAACTTCTCCAACAAGTAAAAATACTATGACTGTGGATGAGAAGTGTGAGTGGAGCGCTGAGTCACAAGCAAGTATGACTGAAGTATGAGAGAGCAAGGACAAAGTCTGCACAATACCACAGGTGATTAACAAGAGACACGTGTGGACAGGGTATCTTGAGTGCGAGGCTTCCTTCAACTTTTGCTAAGAAACTTCCTAATCCTTCCGCCCAATAAAAACTAATCCTAACAAGTAGGTATGCTTAGAAGGAAAAAATACCGTAAGGAAATATGGACAATAAGTAGTAAGATGTTTTATTCAAACAAAACATAATTGTCTAGAAAAACTATGGGACTTTACATAAAACTTATTGAAACTAATAGATTCTGATCTATAAGAGCAGTATATAAAAATCAACTTTATTTCTATATACTAGCAACAAATGACCATAAAATTTTAAAAATTATAATAGCATCAAAAATAAGAAATATTTATGAGTACATCAAAGATATGCAGAGCCTGAGGAAAAAATTACTGGAAAAACCCAAAATGAGGGATTTCCTATCTGACCACATATCATAAACTGTCAAGGTTGTGAAAAATAAAGATCAATAAATGGCCTTGGATACTTATGCAATGCAGTACTACTCTGCCAGGGTTCTGTATGACCTGCAATTTCAGGTACCCGGTACGGGTCTTAGAATATAACCCCTAGAGACAATGGAGAACTACTGTATTATACAATGGGATATTACTCAGCTTTAAAAAGCTGACATATGCATGTAATATATATTTCAACATGGGTGAACCTTGGAGACATTATACTAAGTGAAATAGGCTAGTCACAAAAACTGTATGATTTCACTTACAAAAGATACCTACAGTAGTCAAATTCATAGACATGGAATAGTCATTTCCAGAGAGATGGGGAGAGAGAAATAAGAAGCTGCTATTTAAGTTACAGCACTATAATTTTGCAAGATGAACAATGGTCTGGAGACTAGATATAAAAAAAAAAAAACCAATGTACATAAACACTACTAAAACAACACAATTAAAAAGTTTATTAATATAAATTTTGTTATGCATTTTTACCACAATATTTAAAAGTCTTAAGAGAATAGAATAAAATATATTTGCAAACACATTTGAAAAAATGACTAGTGTTCATAACATGTAAGTCTCAAACTTAAGAAAAGAACCCAATTAAAAATGTGTAAGATGAATAGACACTTCACCGAACACACAAGAATATCATACAGGCATATGAAAATATTCTCAACATCACTAATTATTAGAGAAATGCAAAAATGCAAATTAAATCACAAGGAGAACTACACTTCACACGTATTAAAATACGTAAAATTAAATAGACTGCCAATTTCAAGTACTGGCAAGATTATGGAAAAACCAGAATGCTCATACACTAAAGGATATATAAAATAGTACAAATATTGTGGAAAATAGTTGGGCAATTTCTTAAAAACTTAAAACATATAGCTACCATATGATCAGGAATTCTTCCCAGGATCCATGAATGGATATGCACAAAGAACTATACTTGAATGTTCACACTAGCTTTATTTGTAGTCATTGAAAATTGGGAAAAATCTATTTTATAAATGACACATGTAACGTGAAACAATCTCAATCATAATTAAAAAAAAAAGAACATACAGTGTATGATTCCACTTTGTTAAATTCTAAAAAATGCAAACTAATCTACTGTAAGAGGAAGTAGAGGATTTCCTAAAGATAGGGGTAGCTGGGGTAGAGAAAGAGAGGAAACACAAAAAGGCACAAAGAAAATTTGGGGATAAAAGATATCTTGATCGTGATGATGGTTTCATGGTTGTAAATATGTAACAAGTCTCTGGTAGACTGAAAAGCATCTGCACTATGGTTATTTTCTCCGAGAAAAGAAAACTCTATAATAATGCTGTATTTATTTCAAAAGTAAGTTGATCTGTTTAAACGAACAAATGACACATTGGTTCAGTAATATAAACATCAAATTTTCTTCTCAATGATTATAAGCTCAAAAGCATAGTTTCAGGTATTATGGTTCAAATTTAGTTAAAGCAGGGACTTATTTATTACTATAAACCCTAGTCAAACATATGATGAACAGAAAATTTTGATGGAGAGCTCACACCAAATAATCACGTTCTCTATCAGTATCAGGTGGGGGAAAAAAAAACCTAGAAAGCCATACGGACAAGCCATCCACACTTTTGAACTGACAACTATTTACTGCTCCTTTCATCTCATCTAGTTATGAATCTTAGCAGACAGAAATATGAGGTATGGCTTATAAGACTTTGAAATGATTTGCTGTTAGAAAATGTTTTTCAGTGTAGCATAAAGCTGTATCAGTAAATCCGCAAGATGCTTGTCAAACTGAGCAGGAAAAAACCAACTGGTCTTTGAAGACATTTGGTCAGGAAATCAGGATTCTAATTCCCTAACACCAAGCTCTGTCATAGTAAAGATTAAACCACTCTATTTCCATTTCCTCATCAGCAAAACAAAAAGTTCATGCGTGCATGTGCACCTGAACAGACATACATGCTAGTTCTCCTAGGTACGTTAAATGTAAGATTAGGAAACTCGCAGCACAATGGGAGATATCTCTATATCCAAGCCAATTTATCAACAACTCAATGCAATAATCTTTTATGCACTGTATACAGAATGCATTTCCCAGAAACTGTCAAATGTTTAAGACATAGGGACTGGCAAATGGTTTAGTTTCTACTTAAAATGGACTATCAAAAAGAAAGGACAAAAGGGTGGAAAGGAATAAATTCTCACCTTGAAGTACTGAAGTACAGCTGATGTGACAACTAAGACCCCAAAACCAGAACTACCGAACACAATGACTGGTAGAAGGAATGAGGAAAGCTCAAGTGCAGTGGAAACATTTGGCAGGAAACACTACTTCTAGCTCACCAGCTCCAGTTAGAAAAATCTGTCATGCATAAGAAAAACCCACGAGGATTTTTCAGAAAACACTATTGGGATAACCAAAACACAAGAAGTTAGATTTTTAAAGACTGCTTAAGTTTCTTAATATTCTCAATAATCATAATTAATAACAATTAATTGTATAATTAACAATTAATTGAAAAATCACCAAAGCCAATCTTTTTTTTTTTTTTGGTACTGGGAAGTGCATGACCTGGCATTTGCTAGGCAGGCACTTGTGCCACTGAGTTAAATCCCAGCCCTACCAAAGCCAATCTTAGCAGCATCTTTAACATACAAAATCTCTGGGTCATAGACCAGCTATGAGATCAATAACAAGACACAAGTATTGGCCTGTGTCTTCTCATTTGCAAATCTGATGTAATGATACTACCTACATGGGTGTAAGAAGTTAGCAAGAAACCTATTTTTAATGTCGGAATCTTTCAACGGTACAGTTACTTGTCATTATGGTTTAAAAAAAAGCAGAACAATCATACATATGTGAAAATATCTGCAAAGTACTGCAAACATCCTAAAATGTTATCTATTGAGTGGTAGGAATAAAAGATAGTTTTTCTCTTTCTCTTAAAAAAAAAAGACAGAAAGCCTGAGACTCTCTTATTTGAAGTGACTACTATATTTTTGCATGATTCTAAGAACAAAAATCTATGTTTTTAATCTAGAACTGTAAATTTTATTGATTTTGACCTTTTCTTTGTTACAAAATACTACAAATTAAGTTCTAATAAAACAATAACAAAGGCAAAAAATCCCTTCAGACAGGCAAAATGAAAAGTCATGCTACAAGTACATGAAGTCTGAATACTAACAATTTAAAACTAGAACTCCAATTAAATCAGGGCATTTTTAAAGAGGAAAAATATGTGTATGTGTGTAGGAGATAAGGGAATGAACAGTTTCTTTCAGACTCCCTATTAAGTTACTTACAGTGCTGATCACAATCAACTCTGGCAAACACTACTTGATTTCGATTTGGATATTCTTCTTTAATGACATCAGAAGCTTCCTCAAAAATTGGATGCAACATCTGGCTGAAACGACACCTAGATACAGACAAACGTATCAATTAGGAAGTGAAAAGCCAACTAGTAAGATCTTATTTCTGATATAATACACTGATACTTATTAGTATATGTACAATAAACAACTCTGTAATATAATCATGTCTAGTGTAATCATGGGTCCTGATGTCATTCAATGGAAACAAGCAATTTTTAATTCAAAGACTATGTCGCCACTCAAATACTATATAAATAACTGAACGAATTCTCATATTTTTCATCTTACAGTAACTGCTACTATTATGGAGCCAAAAATGAAAGGTTCTCTCACAGAGATCAAACAGGCCTGCAATAAACTCTCTAAGATATTTGCTACTAAGACTTATAACTATTGAAGCTTGAGCACTTATCAAAGAAACTAGCTTCTCTAATAATGAACCTATATTTAGACTACTGTACAACCTCTTTTAAATTTATTGCAAATATGGGATTAATTACCTGGCTATACTATCAAATTCCAGAGATAAATTAGCATACTACAGAAGTTGAATGAAAAGGCACATACCATAGTACGTAACATAAAAAGCATGCAGAGTATGTAAGCAGATGCACAGTATACAATGAACAGTTTCTCTACAAAAATTTATTCATTGTTAAAACAGGATTTTATATCTGTAAATACATTAAATATTCTAAGTCCACCAGCAAACAGTTTAAACTCCTAAGACTTCCTGCCCCCATTTTCTTTTCTTCTTTTTTTTAACTTTACAAATGGGATATATCCCCCACAATATTCCAGAAACTTTTTACTTCTAACTTTCTTAATCAGGCCAACTATTTCATAAATATGTGTTGTGGGCCATTAAAGGGACCAGAGAAGAAAGAGAAGAATCAGCACAAAAATAAGCTATGTTGGAATAGACATTCTCACATTGAAAAGACACTGAGGATATGTTAAACACAATTGCTATTATTGCTTCCAAAGCCCTTGTACATCAAATTTACTTCAAGGGAGTCTATGAAATTTTTTAATCCATGTGTGATTTGGTCATACACATTAGGTATAATCCAATACAAATACTGTAAAGCCGATGAAAGGATGCAAATGTGACATCTCCTTATTCTTGTGTATGTCTCTTCTAGCCTACTCATCTGACCTAAGGAGATGTCCTAAAATGTCAGAGACATAGTTGTATCTTCAACTGGTACTGGTTTTCAACTGTTCTTTCATCCTTGACATTCTTAAATCTCACCCACCTGGGATAAGTAGATAGGGTCTGTTGACATCAAAGACCATAATCTGATTTGACTATGTATTCTAATCAGGATTCAATCAATGTCTGTTAAATAAATAAGCTGACAGAAGGAAGATATTACAGTCTGGGATACATTATGAGTTCAAGGCCAGCCTGAGCTACATAGCCTTATCTCAAATAAAAAAAAAAAAAAAAAAAAAAAGAATGGAGGACTGAACAATGCTTCCTTTTTTTTTTTTTCCCCTGATACTGGAGATTGAACTCGGGACTGCGCGCTTGCCAGGCAGACATCTTACGCTGCTGAGCTAAATCCTTGGTGCTGAACAGTGTTTTAACGAATCCATTGAAAGAAACTTCAAGTGCACCCAAATTTCCAAACTAACGCTTACATCAATCCTTAACAAATCAACTCAACAGGTAGAAGTCTTTGAGACATTCCAGGATGCTTATTAATATGACTTAGTAAGAGTAAAAAATAAGCTTTGGATTAAGACATATCTGGGTTTAAATTCCAATTACACCACTTACTAGCCATATGACTTTTTTGAGCCTCAATTTTCTCAATCTAAAATGGAAATTATTAACATCTACTTGCAGGGCAATTCTAAGCATTAAAAACAGTGTGTGTAAAGGAGGTAGCACATTAGAATATTATTAAGTACCTACTTGGGTTATTATTCTGAGGCCTAGCAGTTCCTTAGGCACTTCCATGACAGAACTACTTCCAGAGAGAACTCAGAGTCCAGCTTTTGAAACTACATGAATGAGTTTATATCCCATAGCTGATGATCTCGGTTTTCTCAGCTGAATAAAAGAACACTAATTAACTTCTCAAGATCTTTCCCAAATAACTGAAATTGGCACACATTTCCAATTCAGTTTTTGCAAAAGTCAGTAGCTTTTCTTTCTCATCACAAAATTCCTTAGTGAAGAGAACTACTGTCTAATTTTGTCTCTACCACAATCTAGCCAGGTAACCTTTGGAAGGTACACTAGTCCTCTGGATCTCAGTTTTATTTTTAAAATGGAATGGACTATATAATTGACAAAATTTTGCGGCTAATATTACATTTGGACAATCCTAACGTATCTTGGAAAATGTTATCTTTGCTATACACTTTATAAATAGCATTTTCTCCGTTATCTTCAACATTTTACTAAAGTTCTTTATACCATCCATATACAATACACATTCATTTAGGAGATGTTTATTATGTACTTGTCAGATATTATGCAAAGTATTTGGGTATTAATGTTGAAAATACAGCTATAACTAGTCTAACATACAAATGCTCTGACTGGCTAAGATTAGGGTATTACTGGAAAAAGAGATACTATTTGACTTTCAAGTCTTACAACTGATCACAAATTGAAAGTACTGTAAGTCCAAAATGTATTTAACATACCTAACCTACTAAACACTAGCGCTCAGAAAAAGCATACTGTAAAGTATTGCTTGTTTACTCTCACGACCATGTGGTTGCCTGGAAGCTACAGTTTGCCACTGATGCCACTACTGAGAAAGTGAGTGGCACCGCATATCACTGGCCTAGGAAAATATCAAAATCCAAAGTGCAGTTTCTAATGAAAATGTATCACTTTCACATCATGGTGAAGTCAAAAAACCTAAGTCAGACTTTGTAAAAGGCATTCCTAATCTGACTTCAGAGTATATCGATTTATATAAGGAGATGACCTGAGGAAAGCCAACATCTAATTTGAGATTTCAAAGATGATTAGCACTAAGCAAAGAAGTGCATGAGAACAAGAAGTTCTCAGGAAATACCATTTTCAGGCAGAGAAAGCACCATGAGTCCACCAAAGAAAGAACAGAGAATTTCAAAAAAAATAAAAGAAGTTCTATATAATAACCAGAATGTAGGGGTAAGGGGAACAGAAGGTACAGCTACAGAAACAGGAAAGATGAGTCATGAGAGGCCTTTCAGGCTGAAGCAAAGAACTCAAAAGTTTAAACCCAAAAGTATCGGAGGGCCAGGGATATAGTTCAGCAGCATAGCACCTGCCTAGCAAGTGCAAGATCATGAGTTCAATCCATGGCACCAAACAAACAAACAAAAAATTGGGCCAGGGATATAACTCAGTAGTGCACAGGTGTTTCATCCCTGGTACCACAAAAAAATAACCAAAGGTAATGGAAAACAGACGGACTAAGTTGGGTTATAAATTAATCTAATTTGCACTACTGAAAAGAAGTCTGACTTACAGAGAATGGAATGCAATCACATTAAGGAAGGAGGCACAGAAAATAAAGAGATTATTGCTGGAATCCAGATAAACTGCAGGACTAGCCTGAAGTAAGGGTAGTGGCAGCTAGTAAGCCTTTAAGAGTCTAATAGGATAAAGACTGTCCAGAAATAAAGATCACACCAATATTTCAAACTTCTCTCAAGCTAAATCTCCCTTTTTCCTATCTCTATGACACATTCTTTAACATCTACTACATATCATGTCTTTGTTCTACCTTCTAGGAATACTAATAAATCATTTCTGTCCTCAAAGTATTTTATGCACAACAATTTAAAAACCAGGGTACAAACAGATTTTTTTAAAATGACAAAACAATGTACAATTAAGCTAAGTATCTATAATTTAAAAATTCAAACCTGAAGTGATGCTCAATTTCAAATTTTGGAGCATTTCAGATTTTGGATTCTTGGATTAGAGATAATTCATTTGGTAGTCTAGGCACATATCTCAAAGACCAAAAAAAAACCAAAAACAAACAAACAAAAAAACATCTGAAACATTTCTGGTCCCAAGTATTTCAGATAAGGAATATTTAATAGTAAGAAAAACAAAGTGGTCCATAGCATACCATATTAACAGAGAAGACAGGATATGATTCAGAGAAAGGAGAAAAAGGTTCCCCAAGAAGAGACACCTTGGGGATACCTCCTGGAAAAGGTGACAGATTCTTTCAACAAATTAACCTGTTCTAGCATTTCACGTTTAGCAAGTTTAAAACAAAATAAAATAAAACTTAAAAATAAAGAAAAAAATAAAAGCAGGATTACTCACCAGTCAGCATAAAAATTTACTAAAGCAACATCAGCATTGTCTGAAATAAAAAAAGAAAAATTATTTGTATATACATAATTTTGACATAATTAAAGGTATGGTTTTTATCATGATCTCTTCCCAATCACAAAGAAAGACCAACTAAAACCTCACAATAACAATTAACTCTCATACATGCAGCATGGGTGGCTCATATACAATTTCTCATATACAATTTCTTCCCTTTTTTTTTTTTTAAATAACTCTTACCCTTACATGTTTGTTGCATATTAAATGAATATAAAAGAAATCAAATCCACATCAGGCAAGTAAGCTACTAAATGCCTAATCTCAAAGTGGAATGAAGATTTTACTAAGCCATATTTTGATCTTTCATACTCATGAATAATGATAGTTCTGCAAGTTAAATCCTATTTCACAGAATAGACCTATATTACCCTTTCTTTTGCCTAAACTTAATTCAGAGAAACTTCAACTCTCAAGAAGATAAAACACAAAGGTATTCCAGAATTTGGAAGATGAAAGGAGTAAGAATGACATGAGTTTCAATTTCCTTCCCTTTTTACCTTAAGCACTTTTTATCCACTTGCCTATGCAATCTAAGCTGTGGTTCACAAACTGTGGTTCCTGGACCAGAAGCACCAACATCACCTAGGAACTTATAGAAATGCAAATTAGGTGGGTGTCTAGCAGTTTCTGTCAGAAACTGGAGGGTCAGGCCTAGCAGTTAGTTATTAACAAGCCCTTCAGGTGATTCTGATACATGCTAACGTATATAGAACTAGTACAGTACTCTATCTTTTGCACTATTTAATATTCCAGGAACACAAAGCAATGTACAACACGTAATGAATATTTTAACTCCTTTAAACTCTTAGACTTTTGTTTTGTTATATGAAAACCAGTGGGTGAAATGGTATTTTAAAAACAAAGAAAGGAATCATTTTACACCTATTATACATGTTCTTGAAACTCCAAAACTGGAATTTTCTGCCAACCATATCTTTTTCTCCCCTTAACCATTATTAAAAGTGAGGTACGGTTTCTCCCAAGTTAATTTTATCAGAAATAATACTATCACTAAATAATGCAAATAATGAACACTTACTGAACTCAACTAGTCTAATGACACAAAGAGATCAGAGTAGGCAAATTAATTAAGAGAAAAACAAGTTCCAGGCTGTGTTCTAAGACCATTAAGGTTTAGTACTGGACAATGGGTTCTAGAGGATTCTGAGGAGCCTTAGATTGGTAAAAGACAAAGAAAAAAAAAAAGACTAAAAGTATTATTTAACAAGAAAGAAGACACATATTTTAAGAAATGTTAGTAAAACCAAAAAAACAAAACTTCTTAATTTGGTAAACTATGAAATAAACTAGCTCTTTACTATTCTAGGTAACTGAGATTTCACTCTGAAGTGTTTTTTTTTTTTAATACAAAACACTGTAGAAAAGAAAGGATACTTTTAAAAACTTAGGTACTTACTTAAAATTTCATCTATATTCTCTGTATCAAGACTTGTTATTTCAGTTGTTACAGGAGTAAAAACCCAAGTTACCTGAAAATTTTAAAATGTGAAATTAATAAATGTTTTCATGAAAGACAAATAAAAGTCTAAAAAATTAATAAAATTGGTTCCATCTGTTATTTAGCTTATCAGCGGATTTAATCTTTAATAATTATTTTAACTTTTTATCCTAAAATTAGTCAAATAAGAGTTCCTACACTTTCAAACACAAAAGAAATCTCTAAACAATTTTAAAAACTGAGAATTTACTCATTCATTTAATATTTTAAAACCTTATTTTCACAATGCAAGCGCGCGCACATGCGCGCGCGCGCACACACACACACACACACACACACACACACACACACACGCCAGATATCAGTTTAGAAAGTATTTACATAAAACCAAAGCTAAATTTGCTGTTCTGTCCCACTAAGCCCCTAAAACAGAACAAAAAAAACTGCAAAAGAACCAGAGAAGACTTGCCAACTGTGAATTTAGTAAACGCAAATCTCTTCTTGCATTATTTTTACTCAGTGGTAGTAATAACAATGAATTAAGTGACAGACTATTTAAGAGATTAAGAATTTAATTTGAGATTAAGAATTTGATTTGAGCTGGGTGTGGTGGCTCACGCCTGTAATCCCAGCACTCAGGCTGAGGTGGGAGGATTGTTGTGAGATCCAGACCAGCCTGGGCTACAAAGTGAGCTCAAGGCCAGCCTGAACTGCATAGCGAGACACAGTCTCAAAAAAAAGAAGTTGATTTGAAATTAAGAGATTAAGATTTTAGTATTAATGAAAGTAAAAGTGAGAGGTCATTTTAAATGTTGGTTTCATTTTTATGTGCTTGAAATTCAAAACTGAAGTTACCAAAGATAATCTTAGTCTGCTATCTACAAAACAAAGATAAAATTTTAAACTAAGCTAGCATATTTTATTTATTTTTTTTTTTTTCAAAAAAAAATTTTTTTTAAATTTTATTTAAGGAGAAAAGAAAAAAAAAAGCAGGGAAAGGGTACAAGTTATACAGATTTACAGAAAAAAAATGAACAGTAGGAAATTACTAGTTAATGGATTACATATTGTCATCTTAGAAATAATTGTTCAAGTCACAAAATTAAAGCTTGTAAAGTGGACATTCCATCAATGATACTGCAAACAGTTCTGTTCAATGATCCAATAAAACTCTGTGATATCATTTTCTATCTTATACACTTAAATATACATGCAGTTATATAGTACAGAGCACTTTCTTTTCCTCTCTTTTGTACAATGACTATTACACATTTTGGGTTTCATTGCTCCCATGGTTCTTATTACTTTTTTGGAAGAGAGTAAAACCAAATGTGACATAACAGAACAGAATCGGTCAAGTCAAAAGGGTGGACATAATAGATAATGTGAAAACATAATACAAGGTGATCAACAATGGTTACCATAATGCCTCCCGCTATCTCTAATAGAATTGCCTATATTGTTAGTTACAATACAATTGAACAAAACTGTAAAGAATAAAACCGACAAAACCAAAACATTGGAGACATTGTAGGTCTTCAAAAATAGATAAAAGTCAATGAGAATGGGCGTTATAATGAATCTCATTATCTTCACAGCTGATGCCTAAATTTTCGAACCTGATACTATCCAGCAAAACAGAATGGGGGAACATCAGTTAAAAACCAGATGGTGAGAGTAATACAGGGCTTTAAATCGAGGTAATGGAAAGTCAAAGTGGGTTACTATAATATATCCTGCTATTGTTTTCCTTTAATTAAAAGGATAAAAATAAAAAAGTAAATAATGGAGTGGAGATTGAAATAAAAGAGGGCATAACAACGAAACAGCACAGATCAAAACATAACCATTTAAGCAGAATAGTGTTTCACCACCAGATAATCCTGACCTAAAAGTAGTTACCATATTATCTCTTTCCTTGAAATCCTTGAGTACAACTTCGTATACTGTAGCATTAAGTATATCAAAACAATGTAAAACCATTCAAGAGAATGACAGCATTACAGAGTATTTAGAATCGACTAACAGAAAATGAACAATGGTTTCTGTATAATCTCCTTGTCTTTAAAAGGTTTTTGCTTATACTATCATACATAATAAAATCCAGTAAGATACAACCTATTTGGACCATTGGAGACAGAAGGACAAAAGCTAGATGAGACTTCAAAACAAGATGATACTAAATCAGTATTACCTATTAAGATGTCATTTTCTCCAAAATAGCTGTTCCTATCATCCAATCTTCTCTGCCTCATTTCTGTTGAGCTCTTATTCTGTCAGTAGCTGTCAGTTTGTCTTCTTCACTTTGTTCTCTGCTCCATTCGTTGTGGCCTCCATTATTTCTGGATTCTTTGTATTTTTCTTTTTTTAGAATATCCTGCAATACTCTCTGTAGAGTTGAATTGGTGGTTGCAAATTCCCCCAGTTCCTCTTTATCCTGGAAGCACCTTGTTTTTCCATCAATTTCGAGGGACAGTTGTGCAGGATATCTCAATCTTGGCTGGAGATTATTATCTTTCAAAGCTTGAATTATTTCCCCCCACGCTCTTCGTGATTTGATGGTTTGTGCAGAGAAATCTGCTGTAATTCTGATGGGTGCTCCCTTGTAAGTGGTCTGCTTCTTGTCTCTGACAGCTTTTAATATTCTGTTCTTGTATTGAATTTCTGGAATTTTTATTATTATATGCCTGGGTGTTGCTCTGTTTGGGTTGTAGGTGGCTGGGGTCCTGTATGCCTCATACATCTGAGTATCTTTACCTTTTGCTAAATTAGGAAAATTCTCCTGGATTATTTCTGTGAGTAGCTTTTGTAGTTCATTTGTTTGTGTCCCTACTTCTTCTTTTATGTTCTTAATCCTTAAGTTATGGCTCCTCTTATCATCTTCTTGTCTTTGTATTATTGCTGTTTGTTTCTTTGTTATTTTTAAGAAGTTTTTCATTTCATTCTCCCATATTACAAGTCTGCCCTCCAGTTCAGATAGTCTGTCCTTAGTTTCTTTCAAGCTGTTATGCCAGTCTTCGATAGACTTCTTAGTTTCTTGGTAGTCCCTTTGAACCTGCTTCATGTATTCTATGCTTTCCCTGTTTTCTCCATCAAACACTTCTCCCCTCTTTTTCTGTTCTTCCATTCCACCATCTGTTTTTTCTTGGGTGGTGCTTAGTATTTCTCTAACTATTTTGCATACTTCTAGCTTCAGGTCGTTGATAACTTCATTCCTGAATTGGTCTATGAGGCTCTCTATATGGCGCCTTATGTGTAATGGTGCGGTGTCTGTTATTGCCTGTTTCTCAGAATTGGGGGCCGAGGAGCCTTTCTTGTTGCTGCCTCTTCCCATATTCTCTGTTCCTTATATATGCAAGCTTATATGAGAGGCCTAGCTTCTCTCTCTGTCAGCCACAGCCTGATCGAATTGCGCCGGTTAGGTGTTTCCACTCACTGCTGCACACCAGGCAGCCTACGCGGGGGCCCGCCCCTCCCGGCCTCCGTCAGGCTCTGGGATCTGGGTTGGGCCAGCCTACGGGGTCCGCCGGCAGTGTCACGCAGGCCAGGCACTTTTCACCAATCCCGCCCGACAGGGGAATGTGTGGCTGGAGTCGCCAGGGCGCCCTGCTCCCGCAGGACTGCCCGGGCCCAGAAAGTCCGCTGGAGTCAAACTGTGGTGGAGTGTCAGTTTCTCTCACTCACCTCGCCACAAGTCAGAACATGCCTCCCTGCCTGTCCTGTTTTCGACTCCGTTCACAGACTCCCGTTCTCAGAGTTTCCGTGCGTCTCTCTCCTTGCCGAGCCGACGTAGAGGCAGCCAGCCACCGCGCAGCGGGAAACCCAAATGGCGTGGGGTCCAGCCTCAGCAGCGAGGCTTTTCTGTTCCTGTTTTAGCACCAGGACTGCATTCCAAGTTGGTTTCTCTCAGCCGAGTTCGTTCCTGAGTCAGCAGAGCATAACTCCACCTGCTTATGTCTCTTTAGTCCGCACCATACCTGGCTTCTGAGCCTAGTTTTCAGAGAGCCTCCGGTAGTTGTTGTTATCTGTCCGCCATGTTCTCCCGGAGCATATTTTATTTTTAAAGTTATTTTTTATTTTTAATAGACTTTGTGTTTGTTGCCTAGCTTTTATCTAAAGCAGTCTGTGTATGGAAAGCCATTCACTGCATCATCATTTTTGATTTGACACCACTGACGTAAGGCTCTGATCAGAGCACCAGGAGGTTTTCCTTTGGTCACTATTCCATGGACACTACCACACAATAGTGACAACTCCAAATTTTGTAACTCACTAGTAATTCAATTTAAATGATATATAAAGACATGTTTATTAGCATGTGAATAATCCTAATTTTAAAAAACTCTTCCATAGAATTAGTCCTAAAATATCCAAGGGTAACAGCAAATCTTACATTCAAGTCACTGGCATTTATATAGCCAGTAAGTTACAATCATGTCTGTACCAAGTGATAACCAAACTCTTAAAATTAAAAGATTGTAAATCTCCACATAATTTATTTATATTTTCATTTCTCAAAAATTAACAAGAGTGGGGCTGGGGATTTAGCTCAGTGGCATAAGCGCCTGCCTTACAAGCAGGCAGTCGTGAGTTCGATCCCTGGTACCGATAAAAAGGAAAAAGACAAAAAAAAAAATTAACAAAAGATCAAATTTTAATGTTGATGGGGGAGAAGATAGGCAGCTCCACAATGTGGTACCTTCATATACGCCACAGCACCAGAGTAGAAAAGCTCTCTGACCTCCCCTTCTTCCTTGAAGCCAGCCATAACATCAATTCTCAGGCAGCCTTCAAGACCTCATGAGAGATATACCCTCCTGAGAACTGGGAGAAAAAAACATTCCTATCTCTGAAGACACACAGATAGCAAGAAAAACAGCTCTTGCTAAACTCCCCTCAGTTTATTGCTATTAGATTCTACTCTTTTTATCCAGTCATACTTCTTTCTGCATGACTGTCTGTTCCTCACCAAACCAAACATAGAAGCATTCAGGTTTTTTCCTTTTTTAGGTCATGATTTCTGGATCCCAT